ATAAAAGACAAAGAAGAGATTGGGTGGGAGTGGAAGACATTGCAAAGAGTTATTTGGAGTGACACTTTCCTGTACATTAGTAGACACACTCATTAATTTTTTATAAATAATAGTTAGAAAAATTCCCTTTTATTAAGGCATTATTAAACACATACTTTGAGTCACTAAAACTGAAATAATACCATGAATATTTGATTACTAGGTCAGTAGGGGTTAAGCAAGCTTTTATGTTTCATGGAAGCCAATTTTTCTAGGAAAAGTGTCCCTAGTTCAAATTTTCAACCTACAAAATTATCAAAACAACAGGAACAGCTTCTCTGGTCAGTCTGCTCTTCATTCCAATTATGCTTATCTCCAGAGACTTTCAATACCTCTCTCTCTCCCTCTTATCGCATGGGACAGGAGAAAATGGAAGACACTAGAGAGAAACTGTCCCCTACCAGGACAGCAAACCTCCATGCAATTACATCCACCAGCTCCTCTTTCCTCACATGGCTATGATAGAGAGGCTGTGCCTTATTTTCAATATCTTTCCCAATACTAGATTCTACCCATTGGCGTTTAAGAGTGTTCGAGAGCACCCATCTTGAAAGCAAACAAGAAAGAGAAAAAATCAACCTCCCTCCACACTTCTTGCTTCCAGGGCTATTTTCTGTCTCCCCCACCTTCAGTAGAAACTTGCAAACAGAATTATCTTTGCTCATTGTCGCTCTTTCCTTACCTTCCACTCATTCACTAGCCCCCTCCACGCTGGCCTCTAGCCCTGTCCCTCCATCACTCCACTGGAAAGACTCTTGTCAAAGTCACTGTCAGTAGTGATTGGCCACTATATCCAATTGCATTTCAGTCCTCATCCAACTAGGACTCTCAACAGTATTTCAACTTGCTTGTCTAGCATTTCCTGTTTGAAATCTCCCTTCTACTTGACTTTTATGACAATATACTCTCCTGGTTTTCCTTCTACTTCTCCAGCTGCTCGTTCTCCAGATCTTTTGTTGAATCATCCTGACAATCCAGTCTTTAAATGTTCCTCAGCTTTCTGTCTTGCTCTCCTTTTCCAATTCCCTTAGCAATTTAATCCATTCCTTCCACTTCAATTACTAAATTCTTATAATTACTGGATTGTAATATCACAATCTATTGCTACATACCAAAGACTACAAATGTATATCTCCAATCCAAACCACTCCTCTGTATTCCTACCTCATTTGATAGTCTCAAAGACACTAAACACTAAACCTGGATCAGATCAAACTCATGATCTTCTTTCCACACTAGTCTTCCTTCCAGTGTCTTTTGCCTATTTGAAGACTATCACCACCAATTATGAAAGCCATAACCTTAGGGGTTGTCCTTGACCACACCCTCTTCTTCATTAGCATAGCCATTTCACCATCTGTCCTGTTATTACACTTCTAAGTACACCAGAAATACATCTTTTTCCAACCTCCACTGTTATGATCTTTGTTCATGTTCATATTCAGATTCTACCATAGTTACTTCCTAACTGGTCTCTTGGCTTCTTCCCTTATTCTACTCTTAACCTATTCCCCACATAGCAGCTGGAATCATCTGATATGAACACAAAACAAAATTAAATTGTGCTAACATAAATTCTACACTTCTTAACTGTGGGTTTGTTTTGTTTTGTTGTTTTTTTTGTTGTTGTTTTGATTTTTGTTTTCAACTTTTAAATTAGTTTTTACTAGTTTTTTTTCAAAATGCCTTAAAATTTTAGTTCTCTGTATAAAACTATGATTAAATGTTAAGAGAGAACTACTTCCCTGTTTGATTGTTCAAATTATATTTTATACATTGTCCTACTTAAAAACAATCCTTTGGAAATTTTGAATATGTTCTCCGTGATGTTTTTATTGGTCTGATGAGTGTTTCTATTGGTTATTATCACCTTAATTTTCCTAATTAAAAAGTAATTCAATAAAGGCAGGACAATCTAAGAATATTCTTTTAGACAAATAATACATAATTTTCAAATTCTAGCCCTGACCTCTAACACCAAAAACTGTTTTAAATCAGATAACATGTTTCCAATTTTAGCATTGTCTTCCTGCATCTTGTTATTGCATGTACTGTATTATAACTTTGTCTTAAAACTTTAGATGGTAGCATTTTCTCCAACATGTGAAGAATTTTTAAAGTAATTTTTTATTTACTTAAAATTTTTTTAACATTTATTTTGAGAGACAGAGACATAAAATGAGCAGGGGAGGGGCAGAGAGAGAGGGAAACACAGAATCTGAAGCAGGCTCCAGGCTCTGAGTTGTCAGCACAGAGCCTGACATGGGGCTCAAACCCATGAACCATGAGATCAGGACCTGAGCCTAAATTGGATACTTAACTGACTGAGCCACCCAGGTGCCCCTTAAAGTAATTTTTAAAAGGCCAAAACTGAAGGATAAGAAAGTAAAGTTTCATTTGTTTATTTTCTTCCTTCCTCTGCCAATCCAAATTAATGACATACCTGTGGATGAGGTCCAAAAGATACCTCCTGAATAGCAGAGTCCTTTGACAGAAGTGTCATTTGTAATATAATTTTTAAAAATAGTAGTAGGGACTCCTGGCTGGCTCAGTAGGAAGAGCATGCAACTCTTGATCTCAGGGTTGTAAGTTCGAGCCCCATCTTGGGTGTAGAGATTACTAAAAATAAATAAATAAACCTAAAATAAAATAAAATAATAGTAAATTAATTTAAATTTAAATTCCTAATCTTTTCCCAGTTTCACTTCTTCCATCCTTACATTTCAAATGTAGGTTAGCTCCTGCTAAAAATATGTTGTTTTATTGCTTTTCTGAAATATGTGGGTTTGGTGCTTTAAAAAACTTGCCTAGACTTGATATAGTTTTGAAATACCAACCTCAATGTCCATATTGCATCAACCTGGAATACTTTGAGGAAGTTTGTGGCTCAAATGGCCCTCCCGGAGCAATGGATCTCATCCTATTTCCGATAAATTGATGAGAGCTTGATGAAAAGAACCAAACATTTACCACCCAGTCTATTCTTAATGGCAGGCAAAGATTCCAGCCCTGCTAGGGAGGTCTGTGTCCCTTATTCCTCTGCAGTTCCAGTGTGGGAGTCTATGGGGCTCGGTGTTGCCCACCCAGGGCCTCCGCCTGGCATTCTGGAAGTATGCTCCATGAATCTTCCCTTCACTGAAACTGGGTCCTATCTAGTCTGGGGATTTGTGATGTCAGGAAGAGTGATGTGTTCGTGAGATCAAAATAAAATCAACCTAGGAACACTGCCAAATTCTTCCTCTGTCTATCACTTATTCTCATATAAAGGTCGGTCTGTCTCCCTTGCTGGAGAATTGCGGAAATCTAAAACTGACCCTTTTCAGCACTTAAGGGGAATCTAACAGCAGAGGAAAGAGGTTGTTAGCAAGGACAATTTGCTCTGTACCAACCCACTAGCTGGCAATTATCAATCAGTGTGGTAGGGCTCCATTCCCCAGTACTGTGTAGAAACTAAGAAGTCTAGAAAAGCCTCAGATCAGGTAAGCCCAGAAAAATCAGAGGCAGAACTTAAATTTGATAGTTCCCCCCAAGCACTTAGTGCAAGTCTTATTAGTTGCTTGGAGAAAGCCTGGCTAAAGTGTTCAAGTGAGCAAGAGAGAAGACAGGAGTTTTTGGGGTTTTTTTTTGTTTTTGTTTTTGTTTTTTTCCTGCGTGTTGACACGCTGGAGGTGCCCTTCCTCCGGGAAAGGAGGAAGGGAGCCAGAGGGGGCGGCGAGGTTGCAGAGTGGGGGTAGTCCCTCTCTGAGCGCCTGATCTGGTGGCTTTATTTGTTAGCGCGGTGGGTCCAGGCTGGGAACTGCACACTCAGCAGGGAAAGGGGAAGAGAGATTGGCGGCAGTTTTATAAAAACAATACAGCTCAAGTCTCCCGCGTGTGCCCCCTCGCTCACCCCGCGGAGGCACAGTCCGGTCAGAAACGGCTCCCTGGAGCGAGTGCGGCCTCCTAGTTCCCAGTAGGAAGAAGGCGGCTGTTTGCGACTGGAGGACGCCCTGACCGCTGCACACCCCTCCCCATTCCCCTTCTCTGTCAACCCGCCAGGTTCTGAGAGGCGCCTTTCTCTCCGAGCCCGGGACGGAGGTCGCTCGGGGTCACCCCAAATCTGATGATGCCGCTCGCCCTGCGCAGCTGGGGCTTGGGACTGGCGGGGGTGCTCTGGAGGCAGAGAGGACACGGGGAGGAGGCGACGTGCGCCTGTCGTAGCCAAGCGCCGGGGCTTTCCTCCGCAGCGCCTGCTCCCCCGGGTCTGCGCTGGGCGCGGCTGGCGCCCTGGTCTCGCCTCCCTCCCGCCCTCCCGCCGGCCGCCAGGGCCCCCGGACGCCGGGCTGCCCACGGCCCCGCTACTGTCCCTTCCGCTCAACTCGGGCATTTGACTCCCGGCCTCCTAGCGCCACCTCCCCACCCAGCGCCTCCCGGGGGTCCGAGAGCCAAGACTCGGGAAACTGGTGAGGGGAAGGAGGCGCCCTGAGGCCGGGTCTCCAGCTTGGAGGCGGGGGCTTCCCGCGCGCCCGCAGCGGGAAGGAAAGCTGGACCCGGAGAGAGCGCGCGGTGAATGCGGACGCCACGGCTGCACCTCCGCCCGGCCACTAGCCCGCCGGCACCCCGAGGGGCGCGCGCCATCGCGCGTTGCCGGGCCCGCGCGCCTCGGGCTGCCCTCCTCCCGTCCCGCCCCTAGTTCTTCCGCCAAAACCCTTGACCAGAGTCTCCTGGCCAACATTCTTAAATCTCTTTTGCCAGCTCTTTGCGCCAGGTAGGAATAAAGCTCTGCTTTCAGGGTGTGTGCAGAACGCCTATTCCCAGAAGGTGTAGTGACCTTTTCACCTCCCGCACGAACTCTTTGGGAGGGGGGTCCGAGGGCATTTACCCTCTCAAGGTCCTGATCGGTGGCCGAAACGTTTGTTCCCTATTCTTGCTATCCATATCCTCAGAGGCCTTATGCAGCAGTTCCGGGAAAGCCTTTGGGGATGGAACTGGGGGGCATTCAGTCCACAGTGAGGACGCGCCGCCACGGGAGGTGGGGGGTGGACAGGAGCTGGAGGACTGGCATGACAATTGCCTGTGGCCTGGGGCGGGCACCGTGCGAGCCCTGCCAAGAGCCCTCCTACCCCGCTGCTGTTCTCCCTCCCAGCAGAGGCACAGAAACGGGGGCCCCTGGACCCCTAATTGCCAACCCCCGGGAACACCTGGGCTCCAGAGAGACAAGAGTCTGGGCGGGGTCGGGCGACGGCTGCCCCCTAGCTGAAGGCGCACCACTTCCCACCCTCCCGCGTTCCCTCTGTCCCGGAGGAGAGGGCCCCAGATCTCAGTTAACAATGGAGCCCCCGGTGCGCGGCGGGCACCCGGGCACCACTGGCGCCCGGCAGCGCGCCCTGCTGCGGGACAGGGAGGCCGTGTGCGGCTGCAGCACAGCCTCGCCCGCTCGAGTGGTCTGATTCGGATTTACGTGGCAGCGACACTGTCAACCCTTGCCTGGCTCTGTGGTGCGTCTCCCACTCCAGCCTAGCTTTCCCGGGTCTCCCTCGTCCTGGCCCGGAGCGCCAGGGGAGCCCTGCTCCTCCTCGCCCCGGGCCTCGGGCCGGCACAGCGGGAGTGACCGGGCAGGCCCAGCGCTCCTCGCCGCCGCGGGTCGGGGATTTGGAGTTGCTCGAAGCTGCAGCCAGCTCCCGGGCGCGCCGCACTCCTCCGCGGCCGGATCCCGGCGATCCTCCACCAGCTGCCGGGCTCTCCCCCGGGGGTCCTGAGCGAGCGCACAGAGGTAGGCTAGACCGACCCAGTCAGTCGCTGGCACCGACCTCGATGCTTTCTTTCCAAACACACACACACACACACACACACACACACACACA